AGTCTTGGCGCCTATTGTAAAAATTTTCGTCTTTTCATTTATCACTGCTGAGAACTCAACCGATGCATATTTATCACCAAGGTACTAAAAGGCCAAGCAGTGATGCAAAGAGATTTTTCATAGGGAAACTTGAAGGAGTTTAATTAGATTAGCGTAATTAGAATTATTCAACGTGAAGAAAGCATTTTTTCACAATTGAACCTAGAGATAATAATACAGAAAATTCAGTTTCCAATATCTTTATCTCTAAGCACAATGTTCGAAAATGCCTCCTTCATATTGAAAAATAAAAAATAATAATAAAAGTCGCATTTTCACCCTAAAGGAAGCTTTTGCTAAATATTTGACAAGAGGAAAAAATGTCGGAAAATAAATTTTACATACTATTATCTCTAGGTTCAACTTGGAGAAACTATCAATATATGACTTCCTTCATGGAAAACTAAGTTACTGTATGCGATTTGTAATTAGCTTCACCTAGTTGAAAATCGTGTTAGCTGATTCGTTACTAGCTAAAGCGGCGGCCATAGTGCCCGTTCCATGATGTGTACATTCATCCAGCTAGCTGCAACGGGTATCGAAACCAGTGTAGCTAGTTGCAGTGGGTGCTACTAGCTTATTTTTTCATGCTTGAATACTTTCAACTTATATTAAACAATTCATAGCTCCTTCAAAGTTCACTAAATCGACTAAAAAATTGTAGAAAATTCACGATTTTTTGTACACATGATTCTGGTATGAAAGCAAGAAAACTACTATCTCTATGTCCAAGATTTTCTGGAATTTCCGTTGGAAAACCAAAATGAATTATTGAAACTTTTGTCCAAATTTCACGTTACATCATATGTAGAGCAATCTAAATTAAATATCTTCTAGTTGATCGATCTAGTCTGAAATAGGTTATTTCAAAAAACAGTCATCTGTCTTTTAGTTTGAAATGGATAGTAGTTGTTGTTCTACGAAAAAGAAACATTTTGAGAGGTATACAATATATTTTTATTTTATATTTTCATATTATTCTGACTATACATAAATAAGAAAAAGAAAAGGAAACCATGCACATCATAAATGCTTACATAAATTAAACATTATATTTTAGCGTTTAAACAAAAGTAAGAAGGTAAGAGAAAAATAGATTGAAACATGTAGAAAAAAAACTAAATCTGTATGATTCAGAAGAGAAGAAAGAGCGATACACAATCATGCATAGCTACCAGTACATACATTTGTTACTACTCATGAAGAAAAACATATTATACACGAGTTTGTCTCTTGTTACTTTTGTTTTCATACCGTATAGTTTTTTTATGCATAATCAATTATTTATAGTTACCTTAAAATGATGTCAAATTTTAGAAACAAATCATACTATCGAAACTGATCTTTTATATGGAGGTTTATACTGAATTAATCATATAGAATAGAAAATAATATTTTGCAATCATCAGTACATATAATGACTAATACGAATTTTCATGTTCCTTCGAATTTATGTACTTATAATTTATTCTTTCCATAGTATAGCATATTAATCAAATACATATAAGATACCTCTTCTTACTCCGATTTATACAAGCGTGACACAACAAAGACACTAAGCTTATCCAAACACTAAATAAACTAAAATTATTTTGAGATTCATGTAATAGTCTAGCTATTCACTATACACAAAAGTATTGCAAATTTTTTCCCCATTCATCGAGTCATATTACAAAGTCTAAATTATTTAGCCTGCCACAAAAAAAAAAAAAATATGTTGTATAATTTTTTATTCAAACAAAGTACATATTAGACGCCGTTATATGAAAGAGAGGTACCCTAGGGCCACTTTCATAAGGATCCTCCTATTTAATTTTCAACATAAGACAGTTAGATATCATAGAAATATCTTGGTTTTTTGAACTTTTAGATGTCTACGATTGATGATGATGATGATGATGTACCATTATTTGATCAACCTATTATATCACTTCATAATTCAAAGTTATCATTGATTCCATTTGATGATTCAACTGATTCAACAGATGTTCAACTTATCGATATTAATGAAAAGAAAAAATCACGTTCAAGACGTGGATTAATTATTTTAAATATTATATCCATTATTTTGGCTATCGGATGTGGTGCAATAACATTTTATTTAGCTATACAAGATCAATCAGCGTCTGCATTAAGTTTTGCAATAAATTTATGTCTAGATGTATTGGCCTATGCTGCTATTATTTGGCGTTTTAAAAATACTCATAGTGACAATGCAGGACAAGAATTGTTTACCTTACGTATATTAGGTATACTATTTATTTTATCTGGTTGTGGTTGTCTAATAAATTCTATAATCGATATTCTAAAACAAAATAAACCAAAACCAGATCTTATCTCAATTATTATTGCCAGTATTGAAACAACTCTATTTTTACTATTGGGTTTGGCTAAGATAATATTAGCTGAAACATTAAATTATACATCAGCGTATGCAGACGCATTTAATACGACCATTAGTAGTATAATGGCATTCTGTGTAACACTAAGTATAATTATTTATAAATATATAAATACGAATGTATGGTATATTGATCCAGTTTTTGGAACTGTTATATCCATCATAATTCTTTGCTATGGATTATGGATGTTAATCAAGTCATTCAACAAACATTAGATGAATGCAATAGTAAACAGACATGTTGGAAGAAAATATTGAAAATACACATCATTATTATCAGACACGTAGTCCTATTATTTCAGAATCATTGTTTTTTTGTCAAAAGATTTTTCACATAGAAAACACTGCTTGGTGTTGAACTAGATAGACTGTTTCGATTCAGTTTATCGATCGTTTGTGGTCGATTTTGAAACATATACGACGTAATTCGTAAATTTTGTGATCACTTTTCGAATTTACGGACCCATTCTCTCTCTGATGTGATAAGTGGTGGCAATTCGCCGATCTCTCCATCTCCAATTACGTAATCAAAATTCTTTTTTTTTCGCTCTTTAAGAGTATTTTTACCGATTAATCCTAGATAAGCTCACCTTTATCTCACAAGGCTTCACTGTTAATCGAATTGACAGAAACTTGAGTGGAGCTGGAAAGTGAAGAAGTGAGTCTCCTTCTCAATTCCTTCTCCACTAACATTATTCTTTCGCCATTTGCTATGTCCTTGGACCATGATGGTAGGTTTTCATGATTCAATGAATCTCGTATGTAACCGTTTTTGTCTGTCCCATGATCATTGGTCAGTCTCTCTTTCTTCTATCAATTCGCTACCATGCTTTCTGGCCCGCTTGAGCAGAAATGTATTACTTGAACATTGAACAGGCAAGATGAGCTGATCGAGCAAGTGGTACCATGCTCCCTTCCACTAGATTTCCATGTTTTTCTCTCACAACGCATCAGCGCAAAACTGTAAGGTCTCCTCGTTAGTATTATTATGAAATTTTCTGTCTCAATAGCTATATGTAACCCGAGAAATCGCAGAACATAACACAGATGATCAGAAGAAGAAACATATGGTATACTTCATTCACGAAGGGGCAAATATCAGATATTAAATTCGTTCGTTAAGTCAAGATGTAGATTTGTGTGTGCTGTTTTCTAGTTTTAGAGGTTTTAGCCTTTTGATTGTCAGTTTACTGAAACCGATACAGATAAAATCGGATGTTTCTTTGACAATAGTGAATAGATCTTATGTGCTCGCTCTTTATATTATCTTAAAATCTTAAATAAAGATGTTTGAGAGTTTTTCGATTGTTGTTATACAAAAAATCTGATTGGTAATCACATTCCTGTTACTGTTACCAGTGATATAAATATTGTATATATTTATTGTATATATATATTATCGGTAACAGTACCTTGAGGTAGCTTAGTCATTCTAATAGTTTCGGCCTTTTATCACTTGTGAAAAAGTGTGGTTTCGTACCAGAGACCATCGCAGGACAGAACTGCCCTGTTTCACCGGGCGATACTTGTTTTTTGCCCTACCCCGTTGCAGAGTACGGCAACAAAAAATTCCTTGATTTGCCCTGCGAGAGATTGATTTTTGAGATTGTCAAGCTTCTTTTTAAGTAAAATTTTGAGATCTCTCGTATATGTGAAAATAAAAATGACAGCCAACTTTTCTGAAATTGATAATTAATACAAAAAAAATTCTGCTACGCACGAGAAACACCTCCAGTATTTGTAATGAGTTTCTTGAAGATAAAGTCTTTTAAGTTAAGGAGAAAATCCTTCTTTTACACTGCAGGGCAGGGCGTCCTACTCAACCAGAGAAGACAAGTCAGAGAAAAAAAATTTTATGAGTACTTTTCTGACAGGGTAGGGCAAGATATGGTAAGGCGGAAAAAGTTGCCCTGTGATGGTATCTGTTTCGTACTTCCAAGATTTCGCCATCATTTGTTAAGCTAGAGATTTTGGATTGGTTTCAAAAAATAGAGAAATCTTTTTTCTATATCATAATGTCGTTAGTCTCATCATCCTCCACTATACTATCCTATATCATTTTTTTCTGCATCACTGTTAGTTGAACCGACGACACACTTTTGAAAAGCTATCCGTCGTAAATGATTATTTTATTTATTTGAACCGCTAATTTCTTAGAATACACATTTGAATTGTCGCTAACTGATTATTCTACAAACTTAGTTCTCCAGACATGTATGTACAAGCGTTACCTTTATTGTAGTTAGATAGAATATCCATCCATCGGTAAACGTTAGAATTAAATTCGAAAGATAATCGAAATCCAATGATTTATCTACAAGTCACATATACATTTCCATTTACCAACTACTATCTCTTTTAGATTTTTCATGTTATACATAATCCATGAGGTAGTTAGTACCTCAAGTAGGAGTTCTACTAAACTCTGCGTGGCGTTTGAACTACCGTCCCATGCAGATGAAATAAGTCGTTCGAGGGGTGCGATGAGTGCTCGAAAATAGGCCCTCGCCATGGGCTCGAATCCTCTGAAAATGACACTTCGAATCCTCGATATAAGCTTTCGAGAGATACCGATTTCGAGTCCTCGGATTTCGGATAGGGGTTCAAACTGTCATTCTCTCCGGGTTTGAGCTCTCAACGAAGGCCCATCGAAAGCATATTTTCGAGCACTCGAAGTACCCCTCGAACAACTGGTTAGGGATACATATTAAGATCTTCTTTAAAAAATATAGCAGAAACTCTTTTTTTAATATCTCTCACTGGCTTTGGATGTCTTTTTCAGCTGATGACCTGTGCAATCAATACAATGTACATCCAAATGCTTTCAAGGAACGATAAAATTGAAGCCAGTTTCAGTCTCGGGCGGACTGGAGGCAGTTTAATATAAAAGAAACCAATTACATTTTCATCGCAGTTCAGTCGTCCAAATTTTAAAGACGCTCTGCTCTTTTCCTTAGTAAATAGCCGTTACAAGGACAGTGAATAATATGAAAGTATCATTCTTTCCAATGGTATATAACTAACTGGTGCTACTTCTTCAAACAGAAAAATGAAAGTATGATAGTTAGTCAAATTCTTCGTCATTCTCATCTTCGATAAAAGGACCACATTCACAGAGATCAATCTCGACGTTTGTCTCAGTTCGTCGAATATTCGATACCTCAAAAACACAACACGGAACTATCAATACTTCTCGTTCATGAGCATATTCTGAGATCTTCTGAGTATCTAAAGCTGAGCGATGATGGCGAATTTCATAAATAAATAGAACTGTACCATTCCAGCTCTGAGCTGTACGAAGATCTTTTGATGTTGATAAAAATGCCTTGTTCATTAAACGAGTACCAACTGAATATTGGGTTAACTCATCATCATTGACGCGCATACATCGATAGGTGATTCCAATAAAGGAGAAACAATCAAGTGATGGATGAGAACCCATGATCCAAAGAATATTTCTTCTTCCAAACCAGTTATTTTTACCCCACTCACTTTCATGAATTGTAGCTAACTGTTGATTAAGGACTTTGCAGTAATCTGTTTCAGCAGTATATGCTGTTACAACATATGTAAGATCATTTTCTTTACTAGCTTTATCCATAAGCCAGTGAATTAGTTCAATACCTTTGATATCCCGAAGATCTCGGTCTAAATAACATTCACGTATATCCTTCATAATTTCATCAATGTTAGAATTCTTCCATTTATAATTTTTTCCCCAACTATCATTAGCTAATTTCTTTTCTATTTGTTGATGATCAACTTTCATCAGTTCACTTTGTGTTTCCCCAATGAATCTGTTTGAACTATCTTGTCGATGAAATAACTGTTTGATATGATCAGTTTGCGCCTAGAATATTGACGAGATACATTTAAGATTAAACGAAAAGGTTGGAAATTGCCTACTTCATCATACGCAGTCAGATTGAATTTGTTTCTGATTGAACGCGAAGCTTTTTCCAATAATAATCGAACTATGTCGTAATGACCATAGTAAGATGCTGCATGCAACGCTGTAGAGCCATTTGGCTCAATTTTGTTTATTTGCTGTATCGTTAGCTTTTTTAAATATTTTTTAACCTTTGCTGTATCACCATTGCGACATAACAAATAAAAATCACTAGGAGTGGAAGCTGATGCCATTATTCAAACGAACGTTTTAACAGAAGAAACTTATGAAGTATTTTGTTTCTATTCAAAATCAGATGAAAAATGTAAGAGAAAAAGAAGCCTTTTACTTTCAACATCAAGAAATGATTATGACACTCAAATTCAAAAATAAGAACATAAGTTTGACAACTTTTCATTCTTGATTGCTCGTACATGAATGTAACATGCATGTCATAACAATTTCTGAAACTACGAGGAATAAATAAAAAGCTATTGCCTGCCATAAGAAATTTAGTCGTTCATTAGAAAAATTGCATAACTGATATTCAACTTTTAGACCAAAATTTTTAGATTTGTAACGAAATATCGTTAAATTTGCAAAAGTTTTCGTAGACATATATTGCAATCTACGAAAACTTTCTCAAATTTGGATCCCGGATTATCCACGTAAAAGTTCACGTTTTGGTCAGTCCGTTACGTTTTGAAATAATTACGGCCCCACAACGAAATAACGTAATAGCCTGGGTAATGCCTTATTTTATAGAGTAAAGTGTCTTCTTTGATATGGCAGTCAAATGAACTCTTAGAGACGCTACTATAAACCGAGATAAGTTATCCAAAACCAGGTTAAAAATGACTTTTGGGTCACTCACTTATTGAGTTGTAACTTTTGAAATAATCGCTCATAAGAGTTCGTTTGATTGTTACATCCAAAAAGACCGAGTAAACACTCTCCGAACAATTCAATATGTTTTGATAAAAATTTCAAGATAAATAGTTCATATGAAAATACATCTTCCATGAAAATTTCGTTGAATAAGATTCCATCATTCGGGAGAAAAGTGGACTTTATTGATTTTCCACAAAGTCCGACCTCCATAAAGCGACACCTATACCTCGGGAAGGAAACACTTTTAGAGCACCATCTTTTGACTGTAAGCTAGTCTATATTGGTTCTATATATGGTGAAAATTACAGCCCGATCGGTAATATCAAGTATCTGACCCTATCGTACACTGTCGGCTTTTCTCCGACAATGACTCTTAAATACAATATATTACATTGGTATAGCAACACCAACATTTAAGGCTCATATTCATCAGTATAGCCAAAACGTTTTAAGGAAAAAGAGTAATAGAAATTATCGGTCACTTGTATCAAGAAAATTTAAAGTATGCTGTTTCATTTCGTCCGTTTTAAAAAGAATTAAGGATAATCTCGTATTTTTCGACGAAATGATCGAACATTGAATGTTTCAAGGAAAGCAATAAGAAAGACACTTGTTTATTGTTTCGTTGCAAACTCGTAGCGACTCTCAAAAACCTGCAACATTTTTTCCGACTCTGCAATGTTGAATTACCTGCATGAAAAAACTTTTAGGTTAAATGAATAAATTTTCAACAACTTAGAAAAAGTTCTGTTTATCTCGGCGGGAGTCCTGATATTTTAGTTTTTCATCCTTAAACGCTTTATTTCAATCTTATATTAGATCTAACTTGTTAATCCTGAAAAATTTGTCAACAGCGATATCTCGATACGCTCTATCAGAATATTTTATCTTGAACTTTAGGACGAATGCGAGCGAAAGAAGATACCATATTCGTGATTAGCATTAAAGATAACTTCTAAGAGTCTATATTTTATTCAAATCCGGGTGAATCACCTGAAAATGTTTCCTCGTGAACGTATTGAAACATGTCAAAGATTGTCTTGAGTACTATTTTGCGTGATCTGCAGCTTTGCTCATAACCAGAAAATTTACGCAAATTTTCTTTTAACTTGGAATGTATTTTAGACAAAATAGGTATATTTAAAATATGTATGTACACCTTGAATTATTAATCTTTATGAATGTTTTGAGGTGGAGAAGAATCAGTTCCCAAGATTTGTAGAAAAGCTGTCGTTAACGGCCCGTTTTTTACGCCGTTTAACTGGGGTCATTTTACAATCAAAAGATCATCCGTTTATGGGAGCAAAGAAAAAATTGTAAGTTATTGAAGAAGATTCGTGTTATATGTATACTACCAATGACAACAAAATAAAAGACATGAAAAACTTGTCGACAAAACGGTCTGTTCACGGTATATCATATAAACTTCCTTTGGCGAGACTTGATTCTTTGTCTTGTTTCTCTCATATATTCTGAATTTTTAAAGAATTGTTTGTATCTACCAGAGTTAAATGAATTTAATAAATCAAGATCAAACAGAGATATTATACATAAAGTAAAAGTTACAAAATTGAAAAAAATAGTATAAAATAATGTTTGAGTACAATAAAAAACTGATGAATAAAAACAAATGTGAACAGTCAGTTCTCAAAACTCTGTTTCTTGAATATAATAACTCAAATAATTAAGTCATTAAAAAAGATTAAGTATCGATAATCAAACACTCACAGATAGAATAGTCTGTGAAATCAGCCTAATAGATAATCAAAAATTTTCTGATAAAAATATTAGTATACTTCTAGCGAATAACTTCTACTTACGACGGAAGGTCTCCAGCTTGAAAATCGCTTTTTTATCGAACCTACTGGATGATAGGTTATCGACCACGCTGGTATCGAATATCGACATGGGAGCGGCAGGCTCTCATGAGTCATATAAGTCACAGGCTCGTTTTCTATAAAATCTGTTTGTCCAGAAACTCTGAACTTTTTCCAAAACTTTTTCTTAATAAGTCAGGATTGTAGTCTGTAAAATTCTAATCAAAATACAAGATACAAGAAAAGCCCTAAATGTTCATTATCAGCTCAAAGCTACAGAAAGAAAAAGAAAAAATAATTTAACCTTTTCTTGTAAATTCTCTAACTTTGCAAAGAAAGGTCATGTATAGCTGAGAGATGTCTTATTTTGATCAGAATTTTACACGCTCCAATAGTGACTTATTAATAAAGTTTTAGAGGAGGTTTTCTAGAAAACGAGTCTCTAAAGGCCTAACTCTCGCTCTCATGTCAATATTCGAAATCAGCGTGGCTGTTAACATATAATCCTCTAGATTTGAGAAAAAAAGCAATTTTCAAGTTCGGAACCTTCACTCATTAGTTAAATCTATCATTAGATAAAAGTCTTATAAAAAAATTATATTTAACTTTGAAAACTATTAACTCAAATTTTAGAAAAATTCACTACCATTTTTTATTGTAGCAATTTTTCTAACAGCAATCTTCTTAGTGAGTAAAAAATGAAATATTTCTCAGTCAGAAGAGTGTATGTATTACCTAATTGATCAAAATCAATGAATAATATTCAAATTAGACTAAACTATTACTAATAAACATAAACAATTGAAAAGAGATTATATCTATTTGTATTAGTATTTGAATTCTTTTTGAATGGCAATTTGTTGTAAAAATAATATAATGTATTCACTTAAATAAGCGAATGAATTATCTTTTGTTTCAAGTGAATGCTCGAAACAAATATCTAAAAATTGATGAAATATATCAAACATTTGTTTGGTAAAGTTTTCATTGTTATTCCATTCATCAGATAAGGATGAAATATATCCATAATATATATCGTTAAGAGGAGAAGATTTTTGTTGAAATCCAACAGACAATTCATTCAAATTCAAATTTATAGTAGAAGATGTTGGATTAATAAATTTTATTAATATAGTATTCCAGCACTCGTATGATACCAATGGTTTTGGACTTATTTCATTTTCAGTATCTTGAATATCTTTAGACAATATTTTCTGGTGCCTATTTAGCCAATTGTGTATTATTTCAATAAATACAATTATTTTCCAATCTATTTTATAATATAATCTTTGACAATTAGACGAACGAATGCCAGAATTTTTTTTATTCAATAATGCTAATGCTAGCCCATTGTCTATATTCACTTCTAATTTTAAACGACGTTCATCAATCAATTTTTGTAGAGTATTAGACATAGCCGTACCAAAAATTCGATTAGTTGAAGATTTTTCTTCTCCTCGTAAATTTTCTAATTTAACATCTACCAAGTACGCACTAAATATCCACGGGAAACTAAGAATTTGTGTACGTCTAGCTGATGTTTTATTTGCTTCTTGATAACAATGATAATAACAGGCAGATGAGAATGCTCTATAATGATCGAGACAACTATCGCAGTAGTCATCTAGTGAACACTTAGGCGATGGACAAATTTCTATAATATATAAATAGATACCGTGTCTCGTGCGATCAATTAATTGTTGAAATTCACATTGAGCAGAATCTTCAATATCATTTTGTTTTAATCCACGACAGAATAAATCCGTTTCATGTTGTAAGTGATACAGACTAAGAATTTCTAATAACTCTTGTTTATAAACAAAGAAGAACTTTTTAGCTTTTTCTATGTGTTGCTGATAGTTTTCATGAAGTAACAGTGGATCAATATCTGTTTCTCGCTTGTGTTTTTCTATAGGGAGAGATTGTTCATCTTCATCATCAGGAGTTGATATATGAAGATGTTTCAAATGTCTATAATAAGAAAGTAACCTATTCCAACCCGAAATTGATCGACAAGATGCACGATATAGTTTACCTAAAACGAACAGAAATAAATTTTGTACTTTTACGACACAAATCAACCCGGTAGCTTCTTGTAAGTCAAAATCTATCTTGTTTTCGGGGTACCGTGATCTCCTAGATTTCCATTCAATAGGCCATGGTAGATCTTTCGCGAAAATCGGATTTTTTCGTAGCATCATGTTCCAAACTGTCCTCTATCTAATACTGAAAACCGAAGCGCTCTAGCTCTTTCCGTTCAAAAGTTATTTGAGAAACATTCAACTTTGAAATGGATAGTGAAATGGATGCGAGACAGTAAGCACATAGTCGGACATTTAGTAAGAACGTCAAAGTTAATTTTTGATTTTTGATTATGGTAGCGGATAGCTCTCATTCCACAACAAGTCAGAAAAAGTTATTTCCCATGCTAAATATTTTTCCGAAAATTACCTCTTTAGTGTAATGAGTTTCTATAGCTTTGCAAGGCTTCGTTCACGTTCAAATTTTGCGCAAATCTTCTATCCATAGTGCATCTATGACTCAAAGGTAGAAGAATATGCGGTGGATATGCGCATGGGAATCAGCATACTTGAAAACTAATGGATACCGATCTTTATCGAAATTTTTCTTTAGCAAATCTGTTGAAACAAACATGCTTTTTATCTGATACACATATTTTGTGCTTTTCTAAAATCACAGCTTCACAATCGTGTTTTCAAAATTTCTCCATGAGCTTTGGGAACGTGTTCATCTGCACGTTTAGGCAAGACAAAGTCCAATTGTTGAGTTATTTCTTTTAGTTTTAGAAATATAGAAGGACGTCTGAAATGTTGTACAGTTGAACTTTTATATTCTGACTTTTCTCACCTCTTATTTACCCGCAAAGCAAAATATCCAAAACTAGGATCCCGAGATATGGGCCGAACAAGACAAAAACACACGGTTTAAGCTCCACCTGTCGAAAGAAACGTCTTTTTGTTTCATAAATATTGAAATCAATCTTTTTTTGTAGTCAGATGTAGTTTGTAGCCTGAAATCTCGGCTTTCAGAATGTGTACTTTGTATTCCAATGAAACTAAGTTTTTCCAGTGGTTTTAGCCTAAATCTGTCTTTGCAGACACTTCGGTTTTACGTCAGCGAGACTTAACGTTGTCTTCTGTATTCAACATTTGATCTCAAAACAATTTCAAGAAGTTACAAAGATAGAACAAAAGCAGCTTAACATTTTGGCAAAAAAATTATTTTTTTAACTTTTTCATTCAATAAAAAATCGTCTCAGAATAGTATACAGAATGTATGCGCTTCTTCAAGAAGCAAGGTTTTTCTCCCAGGCTGGGAAAAAATCCCATTTTACTCTGAAAATGTCCGTCAACGTTGTTTTGCTGATAGTTCGCAGAAAATCTAACAGTAACGGCACTCACCATACATGAATAGCTTCCTTAGAAACAGGACCATTCACTCAAGCATCTTGCAATTTTCTGAGGTACTTATGTCGAAGAAAAGACGCTAACGAAACATTGTCACAGCTTTTCGTTTAGTTTGGTTGTAAACGTGTCTCATAAGTAGTGAACTGGCTAACTGGCACTCTAGTTTTAAGATACCTAGTTTTTTGATAAAACTATGGCATACATCAAAGAAACCGATAAGGTATGATAAAAGGTATAACGAAAAAGTTCTATAGATTCCTATACGATAATCTATGTTTTCTCTCAAGAATAATTTGGACGCAGTACTAGTGGAGACCGTCCGGTTCGATGCCGACCCGGTGTAAAATTTTGGACCAGCCCGTCTTTTGCCAGTCTAGAAATCTTTTTGGAGCGGCTGACTTTTACCGGTTTTCAAAATTTTTAGCATTTTTCTGCTCTTCATCCAAAAAAACATTGAGATGAACAACTAAGAGGAATAAAAAAACGCCAGCGAAGATCATTTTCTCATTTTAAAGCTATTTAGTTATACTAATAAAAGCGCTAAACCGGCCGATTTTCACCGGTCTAGAAAGATTTTCAGGTCGACGAGCCTAGTCCAATCTGCTTTTTTGAACAGGCCGGCCCAGCCTCCTTTTTTTTAGAGCGGTTACAACTCTGCCGTGTTTCTGAAAGAAAGCGTTGAATTTTTGTCCTTCCATGTAGCAAAATGCAGGAAAATATTATATTCATAGAGGATCAACATAGCTCTATCGAACGTGTTACTCAGATTTTTCTTATGTGCAAGTTTCTTTTGTCGACTTTTTTTCTTCACACTTTACAATGGCTGTGCAATTCACTCTTATAAAATATGTGGTATGTGCAACTTATGCATTTCTACATCGCAGTTCTAAATCTAATCTAAAAATTTTTTCTCAAAAAAAGATGAGAAACGCATCATTCAGGGCAAACTGATGCGCAGTTCATGCTTCTGCGATCGATTAATTAGATTAAGAGAAATGGATCTGACTTAAAAGTACATTTAGCTACTGTCTTCTGAGTACACCATACAATATACAGATTAATTTATTTTAGCAAGAAATCATAGTTGTTGGAATTATGCTGTGTAATCCAATGAAATATGTGCTACTTCGCAGACAACTTTTAGCTGATACTCTTCAATTTTACCGTAACTTACCTAATATATAAGAAGATACATATGATTTCATATTTTTATTTTCCATAAAGTCAGGTCGTTGGTTGTTTAATCCCTTGGCTAATTCTTTGATCTCTGCCTCTGACTTTGGATGTATGCCTGTTTTTCCCGAGTCTACTTCTTTACTAATAACACCGGCTAACTCCTTACATGTTTCATGATGGACACCAAGAAGATCAACATAAGCCAAATGAAGATTTGACAATCGTCCCAAATAATCTTGTTCGGCTATATCCAAGACAACCTTGTTGATGTCTTCTCGCGTAATTTCACCTGTATGTTCTGGTAGATCTTTTTGTGAGTCATACATATACGCTTCATAGTTTGGAGTGTCTGGAACAAGATCCTCGTGCCATATTACCGCATATTCGTCACCATCTAAATCTGAGCCACTTATCTCATTTGGGTGAGGACGGGGCCCTTTTTTCGGGAACACTACAACATCTTTCAAATGTCTTAATTTTAGATGATCAATAGCATTAAATGTACGAATATCACCCGGATGATGGCACGGGTTCTTTGTTATTGCAACTAAACAATTTTTTAAAATTTTTGGATCTTCTCTTGAACGAGGTTCGTCGTTTATGTTTTCTTCATACATTGGTGTGTATTGGATAAATACTTGTCCATATTCTAATACGCCGTACTCATCAACCATTCCAAACATATTTCTCGCTTTCATTTTCGGAATTTTAATTCTTGTTCACTTTAGTAATTCCAAAACATTGGTTAAACAGCATCCAATCAATAAATCTTTAAAGAATATTTCAGTGCTTAAATCGATGTATTTTGCTAATTTTTTGAGTGGAAATACATCTAAAACTTTATCATTTAAAAGTTTTAAGGCATATTCATTATCTAAAAATGACTGAACAAGCCACAAAAGATTTTGATTTTGCAATACGAGAAAATTTGAGTCTGGAATTCCACGATTTGAGAGTAATACTATGGTTTGACGATTTAGGTACAATGGTCCTTCAATAGAAAAATGAAATGTTAAGTTAAAGTTAAGAGTTAACTCTGTAGAATTTGTCAGCAATAAACTTTCAATAACAGACGCACAAAAAGATGACCACTGTTCTGAATTTGAGATTTTTTTTCCCCATCCTTGTCTATTACGGCAGAAGCACTTACTTGGTGATGATATTTTACACACTTCTAACATATAATGATCACAGTCGAATTTTTTCATGCTCTCTCGAACAACTAATTGACGTTGTTGATTGTCAAGTTCTGGTTTTACCGATAAAATTCCCTTGCAACCGTTATAACGAATCTGCATGACACTAAATTTCGAACGTCTACCAAGTTTTTTTTTGACCTAAATATATTCAAATAATTCTATTCATTAAAGTAAGCACATCATATTCAGTACAAGACTAATTAACCAGGGTATTCACTTGTTAACATTTTCCGAATTAAGGTAAATAATTTTTAATCGTTGTAAGATACTTTTTTCGTTTTAACATCCCTCAACAGATATCAGCATAATCTCGATGAAAATAGGCACAATCTGAGCAAAAACTTTCGGATATCTTGAGTATGTTTAAGAATAGTTTCCATAACATTTACGATGCTTCATCTGTTAACATTCGAAAGGTGTCAAAAAAGAGGCAAAATGGATCTGTTTGTGTGTGCAAGACTTTTCGACTAGTTTAAGTCATGAAGAACTAAATTTAGCCTCGAATTGACGCTAAGACATCCGTCTAAAGGCTAACAAAGTCTGATATTTGATTTTTCATCTAAAAAATTCCCGTGGACAGTGATAAAATCGATATAGATAAATAACGAAGCGTCATATCAGAATCGGATTTTGTTCCAACCTTAGAGACTTCATAAGCTCTCGATTAGCAAAAAAGAAATTTTTTTCTATGGATCTTGACTGAGATAATTAACTTTGAAATTAAACAGTTTCAAATTTTTGAATTTTTTTAAAAGCTTTTGCCATAGTTTTAGCAATACAAGGATTTTCAGATGTAATGGTAGATAACAATTGCTACAAACCTTTCTACAACTACACAAGAAAATAAATTTTCTGTGAAGTTGTCTTGATGCACGGTGTTTAATAATGAAATGTCCACATCTGTGAGGACATTAAGGGGAGCGACACAGAAAGTACTACTTTTTAAACATATACACATTAGTTATTTGCCTTTTCTTTTAAGATACAGAATTTTATTTTTCGTTTTTTGCCATGGTGGGATACAGCACATCGAGTTGCATAGAAAAAACTTAATCTTCATATTTTGGAATACATTTTTCAGTTAAAAAAATTTTAAATATCGATTTTTCAAAAATATGTGAAAATAGGTAAAATTTTGAATAAAACTCAATTGTTCTAGTTTTTTACTCTGAAATTGGACCTGTACTTTGTCATTTCTCAGCCAAAATTCAACATTTTGACAAAAACAAAATCATATTCAGATACAAGATCAAGAACTGGGTCGAATGACATAGGTGCCAGGAGTTGTTTCTGTCCCTAAAACTTTAGCAAAATTGCTCTATAGGCTTTTGACCATGACAATTCTGATGCGCATCAAGTCGTACACGTGCCTTATATGTGTCTATACCTGTGAACATTTTTTTCATAACACCATCATAAGGCATATGATATTTGCATTTCCACAGAAATCCCAAAAATTTCGTGAAAAACTAATAAAATATGCTTTTTACCGGACAAAAATTAGTCAGTTGGAAAGAGGACATTTAAGAGAAAACCTATGGAAGTGATCACTCCTGTTTCCAGTGGTTTATACGTCGATCGATACAGTATATAGAGGTAATAAAACGCCTAAAAGGATTTCAGCCGGTGACTCATCCGTCAAAAGTTAGCGCGATTTTTCTATTTTTCCTAGGAAAACATGGAAGAATTTAAAAAATTCATAACTCTATCAAGAAAAGTAGCTAAGAGCTCAAAGGACACGATCGGTTTTCACTAATTCCGGATAAGCAACCAATCTGTATTCAAAAGATAGCGCATGTCGAGTATGATCGAATACAACTATTTTTAAATCTTGAAACGGTGCACAAATAGTATTTTAGACCAAATCATTATTGAAATAAAATGCAACTTTTTGTAGAAATGATGTTGGCAGTATTTCACCTATAACTTCTGTTC